GGGGCTTCTGCCGCCGTGCCAGCGAGGGGCCGCCCGGCCCTCCCCGGGGGGCTTCGGTGGGGCGGCCGCGGCCGGTCTCGGCGAGGATTTTTTTCCAAATAAAAGTTTCTTTTCTACTTTTGTTTCGTGGCTGCTGGTTGCTCGTTTCCTCGTCAGCTTCTCGGCTGCCGCTGCTCGCTCTCGGTTGTCGAAGCGTTCCCATGCGGGCCTGGGCTGCTCGCTCGCGGGGTTAAGCCCTTTCTTCTCGCCCTCTCGCTCTTCGTCCTCCCCCCACCTCAGGCCTCCTCCTGTAAAACCCGAAAGCTCTTAAAAACAAACTCTTCCATATTGCCGATATTGAGACGGCGACATCGGTCCGTACATCTCTTCCTTCCTTCCTCCCTCCCTCTGCCGCGTCTGTAAGTTTCTGTGCAGTGAGCCTTAGGCAGAGCTTCGAGCCTGGGGGGAATGGTGAGGGTCGCCTCTCGGCTGATGGAATAGCTGTGGCGTCTGTGGCAAGTGCGCTGAAAGGCTGAGCAACTCTTTCTGCGTTGGGTGTGACGCTCAAGTTCTTTACACTTTTCTGAGTGCCTGTGTAGGATTCAGCGTTACTTTTTCAGTGCAGTAAGTGCTTTGGGCTACTTTGGTTAATATCATTACGGTTCACGTTCTTCAGGAGTCGAACGAGAGTGTATTCCTCCCCTATTTCTGTAGCTGTACAGATGTGGAACAGAGAACTGTGTAACAAGGAGGGATGAGATCAGAGGTGATGAATGTATGACAGCCAGGAAAGAGAACAGATAAACCCTAGACGAAGCTAGAAAGGGAAAGGTTGGGTCCAACGGGAGCTTACAAAGTGGAAGCAGCAAGTTTGTGAGTGAAAATTGAAAAGACTTGAAGAACGGTTTGAGATGGAAGGGGTTTGACAAAACTGAGTTGATGTGGCGGAAGTGTTATGAACTATAGAAGATTATTGAGATAGGTTGACTATACGTTGTCTGGTGGAAAATAAATGCATCCTCAGACCCGAGTGTACGTAAAGGCCTAATTAGGGATTTCAGTCTGGGGTTATGCTATCAGTTAGTCTTTAAGTGGCATCTATATCTTCATTTTCAAAAATGATTGAACGACCGTCGTTATTACTTTCCCTACCACCACGCTACGTCTTCCATTTCTGCAAGAATATAGGTTCCTTACTCGCTCCTCTGTCGTTTTACTTAAGGCTTTGTCATGCCCCTGCTGCCGTAATGACATTCTGTGTGGTGCAATAAGATGCAGCAAAGCGGAGTTTGTAGGAAACGGACTGTGTTTCAGCTTGCTGCCTGTACCAACGGCTGCTGGAGCTTTCTTCATTATTGTTAGCAAAAAGGAAGTAAATGCAGTGATTAGGACTTTAATTTTAGCTCTGAAGTTTATACAGGAGACCATTACAATTGGATGTGGTCCATAAAGGCTTTTTCTCTACGTAGAGTTTATGTATTGTAGTGGTCTTTCATTTTGTATAAATATATATACTTATAACAATAAGTTCATATTTAATTTTAAAAGAGAAATTTATAAATATATGAAGGTACCTGTATACGTTTAACGTCTAAGAAAAAATGAGTGAAAATAAGTAACTTCCTAGAAAGCTGTGCTAATTTTCGTTATTGAAAGGATGGTTGTGGTAGACCAGCAAATTTGTCTGTTCTGTGCCAGTGCTGAATCTTGCTAAACATCATTTGCATTGTTTTGGTTGTTTAAACGGAGTGGTATTTAATTACTGGAATAAGCCATATAGCATTTGCAAAATCCGTGGTTTAAATCCTGTGTATTAGACATCTGACTTTTTTCACTTCTATTCACTTTCTAGTATTCTTAGGTTACAAGTAGTCCCTTTTGAGGTGGTAGGAGTGATAGACATCATATTGGAATATCTTAGTATGTTATAGAGGTTTTCTCCATTCATGCATTAACACTATATGCTTTTTTACTTCCTGAATTAATTCAACATGTAGAATGTCTCTGTTTTTCATTTTACCTGTTGAACTAGAGAAACAGTTTTGTGTCAGGATTAACATGTATTACGCTGTGGATAAGAGGAGCAGTAAATACGGTGAATTTGTTTTCTGACTCCGGAAAAATACATAGTTCTGTACTATAACTTGGGAGCTTTTTTGTTTTGTATACTATAAAATACTGACTGTTTTCCCATTAATTTTCTATAAACATTAAATTCTATAAACATCTTTAGGGTTAAGTTCAAAACTAAATAGGGGTACTAAATTATTTGAGATCGACTTAAGCATGTTGTGGTTCACTAATAACCTTGGTAGCTATCCTTACACTTACCTAGGCAAACTTTCTTTCACTGTTTTAGGCTTATTTGGCATTTTTTTTTGAAATACTTTGCCATAAAAAAAAAGTTAATTTCTTTTTTTCTTCCCCGCCTGCAAATTAGTGGAGAATAATAAGGGTAAGGGGTGAAAAAGTGTGGAAGAGTAGGAGTTCATTATAGGATCTTAAACAGCTATTTCCTGCAAAAGAAAGGAAAAGGTATGGCATTTTCAAGTGTTACTCTCATGCTACAATTCTCTGGAGCACATGTTCGTAACTTCTTATATGACTATTGAATTTGTGTTAATGCACGGATTCTACATCCCCTACATAAAACGTAGACACAAAATCACGCAGGCAGATGCCAGTATGCGATTTGAGGATAGGGGATTGTGCCGTGCAACCATGTATACTGTCTTTCAGCTTTTGCCAGCATTGCTACAGCGCTGCTTAGGACTTTCCACACAAGCAGGGAACAACACTTTTAAGAAGTAAAGATTGTGGCTATGGAGCATCATCACATTAAAAACTAGCTAGGCATGATGGGTGGAGAAATAAGTTGTACTGCTGAATAAAAGGAGACCATGGAAAGCAGCTTTCTCTCAGTCATGGGCAAGCCTTATATCAACAATTCCCTACAAGGTCTGGAAAGATGATTAGGTTCAAGTTAAGTCGTAACGAAAAGGCTGCTTTCAACTTGCAACATGGACATTTGATTATTTTAAGTCTCATTAATACCGTTAGCTAAGGAAGAGGCAGAACTTGGAAGGCCGCCTTTCAAGAGGCATATTCTCCTTCTTTCAAACCTCTCTTCCAAAAGTTCTTTCTGAAGTTATTTGTGTGAAATTCATCTCTTGAAATCAGTATCTAACGTATGCATGTGATTTGGTTTTAGGATGATTCCTCTCCAGAGTTTATTTCTGAATGGAAGGATGCTCTTTTCCAGTAGAAGATGGTGATCCTAATGTATGATCATGGAGAAGGGGATAAGTTCAGTAGAAGTGTTACCTTCCAAATCGTCTCAGGTTACAGCTGTAAAAGTGGTGGTCAAAGAGCCCGAAACAAAGCAAACCCAAAGAGGGAAACGAGTGGGATTTGTGCTTGTCCATGCAGGTAAGATGCAGAAGCGTAACAGCTGGAATGGAAATAGTGCATATACAAACTAAATACCAACAAAAATTTTATATTGGCTTTGGACTACTAGTATGTTAATGAAGTGACATTAACTTTGGGTGTAAATCTGGGAGTGGAGAGTTTGATTGGAAGTTGCATTGGCTTGGAGGATCTTGGAAATTGATAATAAAAATGTAGGGTTTTGGGTGTTCAGAACGGTAGGGTTTTTTCCTCCTCGACAAAGAAAACCCCAAACAAAATCCCTAAATTAAATGGTCATAAAATGTCGAATTCTGCAGTTACCTGCTAAGCTTGGGAAATCTACAACACGTGAGAGATCTTTCAGTCTATTTCCTTCCCCTACAGAAAGATCAAACATAGCTGTTTCATTACTGACAGTTTTTTGTCTAGCTTGTCTGTAAGGACAGTCTAGTTAAGACTTTTTGAAACCTCCTTAGGCTGTTTGTTGCAGAACTTCACTTTTTTTACCCTTCTGAAAGTTTTCCTCCAAGTCTCTTTTTTTTTATATTGTTTATATTTCAGTGAATTACTATTTATTTTTTCCACATGTAATGAAGAGGTCATCTACTCAGATGTGATACAAAAATGATGTGTTATGCGTGTCTTGTTCATAAATTCTCTTCTAATAGGTTCTTTCTTAAATACTGTTCATCTTGAAAATATTAGCGATGCTTATATCTGACTATATATTTGGTTGTACATATGTGTGATGACATGAGGTGAAATTGAGCAAAGTAGCCTGGTGACATCTAAAGCATTTGAAAAACCAATATGCTACTTGGTTTATAAAATCCTTAAGGTAAAAAACCTAAAAAAACCTCAAAGAACTGATTTTGGGTTGATATTTGATGACCCTGGTATTCTGTTTTAAGAGCAAAGAGAATTGTTCAATGTTGTCTTTTACTGGGTTAGTTTACTCTGTCTAAAACTCTTTTTCTTTCACTAGTAGTGTTAAAACTTATTTTCTTAGATTCCTCAAAGCTAACATTTCTAGAGGTGAGGAAAGGGAAATTGAGATAAATACAAGCATATTTTTCAAGTTCAAAAACCAAGAAAACAGAAGAAGATGGAATTTAAATATCAGTGTGCTAGTCTTGTCTGTTATTTTTCTGATGCTATACTTAGTTGAATAGTGGGCACTGATAAATTTTTCAGGTATGGAAGTAGGGAGCAGTGGCTACAAAACAGGGCAAAGTTGTTAGATGCAACAGGATAGACATAAAGCCTGAAAATGAGAAAAAGGTGAAAAAAATTGTATGATCTTTATTTCCAGGAACTCTCCTGGTTCTGAAGCAGGAGTAATGAGCTCTAAACATGTAGCATAAACACGAGAAGATGAACAGAATGGTAATTGCAAACTTGCAAATCAGCAGTAAAAGGAAAATTGGAGTTTGACTTAAACTTTTTGACTTAAAGTTTTTGCCCAATGATGGACAATAAATAAAAAAGCTACACTGGAAATCATCCAAGAATGAGCAAAACTGGAACCTCTTGGAGAATGTTTATAAGAACAGATTGTATGGCGCTAAGATTTATACCTGTACGCTTCTGCATATTTGCTCTGTATCCTGTATTTTACTGAGTGTATTTGAATTAAGTTGGAACGCATAAAGTTGTCAATCATTGATACAAAAAGGAAATGCCAATGTAATCCCGAATAAGGAAGGCTGTATCTGTCTGTGTCTTAATTCTTTATGCGAACTATAGGCTGTAGTTTGACAGGTAGTATAATCCTCTTTTCCTTTTGCCTTAACTGTAGGTGCAGGTTATCATTCAGAATCCAAAGCTAAAGAATACAAGCATGTGTGCAAAAGAGCCTGTCAGAAGGTATGTCTCACCAGCTCCACAGTCTTGTAGCGGGTGTACAAGAAATGTATTCGGTAGCACTGTCCCTTCAGTTTGAATGGGCATATCTGGGTTTAGCTACTCAGGCTGTATGCATTTCTAGAGGAAAAATGGAGCAGCGACAGTGAACGTGATACCGAGTCAATAGGTTGCATGGCCATGAGGTGCAGCAACATTCTCATCAGTGGTGGCAAACAGCAGACACCAAAGGAACAGTGGGGGAACAGGAGAAGGTCGCAGTGGTACCTACACGGAGTAGACCTACAGCTTCCTGCGCTGTTCCTGAGGCTCTGGGATTTCTGGAGCTAAATGTGGTGTCTGGATTTTTCTTTCATCAATGTCTACTCTTTTTGGGATTTGTTTAAACTCTAGCAACCAGATTACTCCGTGAATGCAGGGATTTCTTTTCTTCTTTTCTTCTTGATCGCTCTTAACTTCTTAATAGGAGGGGAGGTAGAAACAGGAAAAAAAAAAAACCAAAATCAAAACCCTCTTTCCAAAGCTGGAAAGGGAGAAATGGCAAGACTTTAATTTCCATTGAAATTACATTTTTTTTTTTTTTTTCTCCTCCAAGAACTTAGCTTTGGAACTGGCAAGTCCTGTCTACTAAGTGTTGAATGAGAAGCTGGAAGACCTGTCTCCAAAATTTCTAATGCCTTTTGCTTTCTCCAGGGAGAAGGAGCTGGGCAGCTTGGCAGGCTTTTTAGAGGAGTCTCAGAGTTGGCCTCTGATAATTATCACTTCATCTTACAGTTCTGTTGCTCAATCCTAATACCGATCTAATTTTGTAATGAGAAGCCTCAAAGATCATCCAAACTTAACACTAGCTTCATTAAAGTTGTGCAATAGCCCTGATGATACTCATTTTCCAGCTAATTATGTGTGAAAAAAGGTTGTTTGCTGTTGAATTTAAGTTTAATTTGAGATTCCATTTGGTTCCTTAAGCTAGGTAGCCAACATAAATAACTTGTATGAAGAACAAACAGTCGCAGGTTTGTCTTCCGACTGAAGATGCAGCCGTAGTTGTTTTCTGGGGTTCCCCGAGAGAACTTGTCTGTAAGGTCTTGTACAGTATGGATCTAAGAAATAATATTAGGCTCTAGAAGTTCATTTCTGTGTGCATACATAATTTGAAGATAACGTTATTTGATTTGTTTTCATGTGTTGGCTTTTAGATAAGCTTACTTGTAGGTTCTGTTCAGCTTCATGACAATTGCCATATATGGTGCTAGGAATTTCTGTTGAATCTTGGAAGGAAAAATAGAAACTTCTTGACTGAAACATTAAGTGTCCGAGGACACCAGGTATAAGAATTTATTTTGCTATAAATTTGACCATGCAGGAATCTGCTGCTAAATGCAGTGTCGCGATGTCGGAGTAGTAAAATCATACCTTCAGATCTGTCCTCACATGGTGCCTACTGACTAGTTCCAGTGCCTCTTGTTTTTATGTCCTCTTACATTTTAAACTAATTTGGTGAAGATTTTGCTTTGTACAGGACTAGGAAAATGTAGGGCTTAGTCACAGAATATTAGAATTTCCTAATCTTCAACTAAAAATTCTGTTTTACAGGCAATTGAAAAGCTACAGGCTGGTGCTCTTGCAACAGATGCAGTGACTGCAGCACTTATAGAATTAGAGGTATGAATTTCTGACTAGTAGTAAATATGTCTCTCGGATACATTGCTAGATTTTTCTGTAGGAAGGTATTAATTCAAATGGGAAATCGACCAAGATTTCCATTTTTGTGCTACGCTAATTTTATCTTTTGCTTTTCCACTATAGTTTGGAGTAAATTTAGTTAAAGACTTTCTAAAAATGCAAACTGAATAAAAGTTGTCTAGTTGGTGCAATTTGGTTGTCATCTTTGGTATGCCTTATCAGATAGTCTTTAACCTTCAAGAATAAATACAGTCGTGAAAGACTTATTGAACACTTTGTAGGGAACTTTATATCTGACTTACCGAGCTACAGGCAGACTGCACTGGCTCTGCTTCTTAGATAGGGAAAAAAATCATGCTACTGGTCACATATGTTAACTAGAAATTCTAGGATAAGCCCTCGTTCCTTTTGTTTGCATTAATATCTCACACTGAGTTATGTTTCATTTCTTGAAATTATGATCCAAAGAATTTAGATGTAGTTAGTCTTTAGTAGTTCTATTAACATTCTCATGTAGTAATTAGGTTGAGGTAACTGTCTCTGAGTATGATATCCGGGGTTGTGTTACTCATACCTTTTTCGGTTCTTCAGGATAATTCTACAAAAGTGACTGCATAAATTTAATGCTGCTTGTCTCTCCATCCAATTAAAGGACTCTGTGAAAATTAAGTAGAAATTTTAAGTTCTCATTTGTCCTACAACATACTTTTGCTACGTGCTTAAATTAATGCAGTTCCCAAAGGCTTTTTTTCTTACTTTTTTTAGTCTGTGTCTGTATGATCTCTGATAAGATAAGAGACTAGAAGCAGGCTGTTCAGGGAAATGTGAATTCAGTGTAAGATAATGCATTTTTCTGATTTTTATGACAAAATCTGTGTAGAAGAATAGGACAAGTAATGCTTTCATTTCAAAATGGTACTTGTTAATTAAGATAGAAAATCTTGATAATCATAAAGAGATGAGCAGCTGTTTGTGAGGTTTTTGGAAAAGTGTTTTTCTGTAGTGGTGAGATTTTTATAGCATCTGACTTCAGTGAAGGGTCCTTATGAAATGATGTACAAGAGAGTAAAGCTAAAAGAATTTCTGGGATATAAATGAGGCAGTTTGGTTATTGTCCCAGGTCCACTAATCCCCCATGGCAGTAATGATTGAAACAGGTATTCCTCTTCTCCTGTAAGGAGTAACTGCCTCTTCCTCTCCAACTTTATTAGTAAAGAAGGAAGGCAAGGTAAGTGTTGTGCTGTAAAAATAATTTCCTGGGTTTGGAATTTATGGTGGTATTCTGAGAGGATTAGCAGTGGATTTGCTTACACACATGTTGGGAAAGTGTTAATTAACATACTTGATAGGGTTAGCGTAAGGCAGGCAGTATGTACTTTAATAATATGTGTTAGACGTGCTGACTAGGAGCCAAGACTTGAGTCATACTTTTAACTTGGCAAGCTTCTTGGCTTTCAACAGTACTTTTGGTCTCGACTGAACTGTTGAAATACGCTTTCATGTGTTATCTTACACATTAGAATATAGCTAGGTGAAAACAAAAGGTATATCTCTAATGGAATTATTCATAATGCACTTCCATAAACTAACTGAGGCTGCTGTTACTCCACAAGGTTGTTCTGTGTGTCAGTTCTCTCCCATTTCTCCCCTCAGTGGGGGAAAAAAAAAAAAAAATCTACTTTGTGTTGTGATTTTTTTATTGTGTTCCTGAGCTACACACAAGAAAACATATTTTAAGAAGCTTAACAGTGATATATCTCTTTGCAGCTGTGCCTGGGGTAAATATTTTATCTGTTTTTGTTATCCCCAAGAGACTTTTCTTCTTTTAAGTTAGTAGATTTAAATACTCTGAAGTGACATCTGTGTAAGAAGTTAGGGCTTTAAGATGAAATTAAAACCTTTTTATGAAATTACTCCAATCGGCAACCTTTTTCTTCTCATCTGTCTTGCTATTATCGTGGTGATGCCTGCCATCATTCCACTTTCTGGTTTTATAATTGTCTTAGGTAGTATTTTGATGTGTACTGTTGCACAAAACCTATTTTTTTCCTTTTTCCTGTTTTTAAGATTAAATATTATTTGCTTTAGGTTCTGCTGCTGTCATTAGTGTAATTATTGGCTTTGGTTTATTTATTGATTTATATAACCTCTTAATTGTGGGTTGTTCTCTCTGTTACTGGGATAAAGAATATTTGGTTTGGGATTTGGGCTTCTTTTAAATTAAAGTACATAGCTGTGCAGTTACACTGAGGAAAAATCAAAGGTATACTCAAAACAGAAAATGGTATGGTTTGCAGTGGCAGTTTTTTGGATCTGGTATGAAAAATTCCAAAGTGTTAGACTGTCAGCTTTCAAAATGTTGAAAGGTTTGTATCTGCTCATATCTCATACTGAACACCACCTCCAGACATCTCTGTCATTTCTGGAGCTACATCTTCTGTTTTAATTCTGATGTTTTTCCTATTGCTCTATGGAAAACAGAAGCTGCATGTGGCAAGTCAATAAAGCAAACAAAATAGTTTTTCTCATCAATTACAAAATTTTAAGGGTAAAAATGTAGGTTTGTATGTTGACTGTCGCTGTAATGAGCTATCACTACCCTTTTGTTTATGCAGGAAAAAATAGCGTCTTTTCGTAAAGTACTTTAGCATTTTGAGTTGGCAAATACATAGCGAAAATCTGTATGAAAACAATGTTTGTTTACATGTCTCACTGTAATGCAGATTAAGATACAGAACAACAAGAGTTTGTATAACATGTCATAACAGATTCCATTGTGGAGTACTGTTTGTAACTTCTTGATATTTTGGTTGCTGTAGAACACATTGCTGTGCTTTTATCTGAAATATTTAATCACTTCTACAGTTCTCTGGGACTTTTAATGCTGTATTCCAAAAATCTGTAGTCTTTGCAAAGCACAAATATCTTTTCGTGGAAGTGTCACAAAAGATGAATTTTTTTCCTCAGTTCCGCTCAATTACACAACTCCTATTACACAGAATTTCAGCTAATCCAAGAGGCATCACTTCAAAGACTTGTTGAGGCGCAAGACTTGCTCTTGATCTTTTATGAGCAAACTGACAGTTTGCTTGTGGTATGCTGTCTGTTTTTTGTTTTGTTTTTGCAGGCTCTAAATGGAGAAAGAACAGCCTTTCTTTGTTGGACTATATGAATCTCAAGTGAAACAGCGTTCTGTGATTAAGATGATAATGCTAAAAGTTAACTAGAGAAAAGGTAGATTTCTTTCGCAAAGTAATAAGAGCAGCTGACCCAGAATACCGTTAAAATAGCTGTGCTGGTCTTCGTAAGCATCAGCTGTATTTGATAAGTTGATTAAAGGCAGTTATGTTTCCCAGTTTGTGAACTCTGTCATTGCAGAGAAACAAATGAACATGTTACCTCTTTCAGCTTTTGGTAATAAAATGGGTCTGGACAAGATGCTTCATAAGAGTCATCATTTACACTGTATGCTTCTACAAGGCGTTATTGCAGTACCGTTTCTTTTTGCACTCTTGCTATCAGCCACCATATGAAGTCTGAGTTTCTCTTGAAACGCAAAGGGATTTGGGCAGCTTTTTTTGGTGGGGGAGGAGGTCCCTGTCCCCCCCCCCTTAAAACTTGTAGTTTTCAACAAAACCATATGCTGATTGCATGGCTGGCTGGCTGTGAGAACAATGTGCAATTTCAAGCTTTTCTTTGACTATAGAGCACTTCAGAAAGTCAACTGTTCAGGTACTGGAGGCAAGAACATAAGTTTGTTGTAAAGAATGATGAAGATTTCAAACTTAGAAGTAGTCTAAGTTTATTAATACTGTGTGTAGATCACTTGTTTCTTTAATCTGACTTCAGTAGAATGTTCTTTATGAACATAATTTAAATTGGAAATTAATATGATCGATAGGGAAGCGGATGTCACGTTCTGGATTTCGATCTCCTTGCTATTGAAGTTGCTCAATTTACTTTGCTTTTTTTTTTGTTGTTGTTGTGGATCAATGCAAAGGATATTTTGAACCTGTTGGTATACTCAAGCAGTGGGTTTGCGTGGCTGTCGGCAAAATTTTGCAGTGAAAGAACTTGTTTCTTGTTGAATTGTTTTTTCTTTATTTATTAATTTTATAGTAATTAAGATTTTTGAATATACAATCTTAGTCCCAAGGACTTATCTTTAAAGATGAAAGCACAATGCCAGCGGCCTTGTTGTATTAAGGCAGTCGCCACAGATGAACTTTTAATGGGTAGTGGAAGGGAAGTTGTTAATTCTAGTTAAAAGCAATACAATGATGTTTTGCAGCAGAGTGGCTAACACTGTGACAAGCTGGAAGTTGTTAATTCTAGTTAAAAGCAATACAATGATGTTTTGCAGCAGAGTGGCTAACAGTAATCTGTGACAAGGGTGTTCTTTGAAAACATTTGAGCTGGTGTAATTGAAAGGGACGTGACTCATCCTTGTAGACTATTACTTCTTGTCACTAAATTTCCACAGAAAAATAGATTTTAAAATTACAGTGTGTAAAAAAGAAATGCCTGTAGACTTTGAATCCCTTTTAAAAGTTGCAAATAAACCATGGCCAAAACTGTATCGAAGATGGATGGAATGTTCTTTAATGCATGTTGAAAATAGAGCATTTTAACTATTTGCCTAGATGTAATTCAGGACTATTAGTGTTACAGTGTTGAGTAACTTCTTCAAGCATTCCAACTTTGACCGCAGCTAGAAACTTCAGCATGCCTGTGTTTGCTGCCAGAACATTTATAAATACATCTTGAAGTAAAAAGGATTCTAAAACCAAAAATGATACCCTCGGTAGTCTGAGAATTTTTACAAGATGGGTGACGGGAAAATGAAACTCTTGTTTCACATCTTAAAGCTTTGTATTATCTCCTTTGCTACAGGTGTACGTTGTAAGTTAGAGATACTTCAGTGGTGGAGTAATTGCCAGGTAGTCTAGTATTTTTCACATAATTGAAAGCTTATGTTTTGTTAAAATGCTTTGAATAGCCATTTGTTTGTCTTTTCCTCTTCTTTTTTACTTTTCCATGGTAGTAGGAAAAGGTAGGGCTTGCTGTTAACATGCAAAGCTCATGCTTGGTTTGCTTTCTTGTCTTTTTTCAGTCTCCTTAGAAATATAAAGGCTGATCTCTGCTTGTGTTTTTAAATAAAAGTATATTCCTGAAGATACCTTCTGTATTATAAACCTTTCCCTCCTTTCCCTTCCTCCCTCTTCCTGGATACGTGCTTTGATTGGGTTCTTCCCCATCCTATGGTAGTCATGTAGTTCTTGTAGTATTGCATTTTTCTGTCCGAGGGTATGAAGAGACTGCTTCAGTTAGCTCAGTTTATTTTTGTCCCCCTTTGACAGCATGCACGCTTCTGTTTTAATAATGTTTCTGCATTCCTTGAAGGTTTTGAATTTTCATTTCAAAATACACCTTAATTTTCATAAGTGGTGTTCCTCCATTTGTATATCAGAGTCTTGAAATCTTTTGGTCAGACTTTGCAGAGATTAATGCTTTCAAAAAGAGATGTATTTGTGTGGTGTATTTCATGTCCTTGCCTATTCATAGAAGTAGGTGTGAATGTCTGTTCCCATTTTTTATAAAGGTTTTTCCCTGCCTCATTTCAAAGGCTTTATATCTCATCTCAGAGACACTCAGGTAGGTATCAAAAATTCCATGCGTTCACACCCAGTTCCTGCACTGTCTAAAGCTGTTGTCAGATCATCTTTCAGATCTGTGAAGTTAGAGTAGACCATCTTCCTCTTGGCAATTCTGAGACCATCTTCTTAACTGAGTGCGGCCTGATTGTAAAGCTAAGTAAAGCTCCACAGAAATTTTGAACAGGTGCTTGGAATTTGGACAGCACTAGGAGTAAGCATTGTTCATCCTAACGCATTCCTGTTTTTACTTTGTCCTCCAAGTACCTTTCACCGTTCACGTTCAGATTCCTTCCATCGCTTCTCTGCTCCTTTTGTTCTAAACTTCACTGACTTAATTTTCTTCATACTTATAGAGCCTGGGGAGCAATGAAGTCGGTTAAGCCAGCGGCTGCTCTGCAGTCTTCCACCTTTTCAAGTCCATCATCTTGGCAGCCTTTTTTAAATCATATTCCCACCCCCGCCTACCCTTCTAGGGAAAGTTATTCCCTGTGCACTAAACTGCAAGCATTTCTTTATCCTAAAATCTTTTCAAATGTACTTATTTGCTGTGAGGCGTAGCCGTCAAAATGAACAACACAATGAATATACACAGTGAATTTGAAGATCTGTTGTGGTGTTGGGATAAAACAGGATGGGATAAAATGGGATAAAATCTTGTGCTGCTACTTGGATGCATAAGGAAAAAGCAGAAAATAAAGATGAGTACTATAAAATGAACATGGAGAGATTACAGTCTGTTTTGTGATTATGTATTAATCATGTATTATGTATTCATGATTCTTCAGGAAGATAGCGTTTTGGTGACTCAAACACTAAGAACACTTTAAATATCTGTAAATTAGAATCAACATCTTGCAAAACAGGTTTTGAATTTACTCACTACTTGTTCATGTGAAAGTTAACAAAAGCTAACTGACTAACATCAAATTTATTTTTCATTTCTGTGTGCTCTTTCTTTCATTTTCTTGTATTCATTACAAATTAGTATGTACAAAAAAGAACCAGTTCACTTAACATTTAAGACAGAACTTTGAGCTGTTTCCAGTAGATTTGTTTCCCGATTCAGCTTTTATTACATGTACTGTAAAAGTATCACCATCTAATTTCATTGACGTGTTCACATGTGGTTTATTCAACCATTTTTCTTCGTTGCATCAGGTTGTTACGCTGTTGTAATAAAAACAGATATGAAACTCTGAAAGCATGCAGCATCTCTCTGAAATTTTACTGTTTGGCTGTTCTGGGCTGTTATCTTTGTCCTGTGCTCATTTTGTGCTTGCATCTAGAAAGGAGGGGATTATATTGAGCGGGCAGTGAGGCTCCTGAACTGTGCTACTTTGAAACTTTGTGTTTTTAAAGTCATGGGGATGCTCTGATGAAATGGAGGGGCAAAAATGGGTGTTTTGAATTCTAGCATGAAAAACTTCTTGTTTGAGAACCTTGAGTTTGCAAAAAGCTACAGAAGGTGCTAATAAAAAAGGAGTTAGGTTTTTAATTAGTTTATTGAATGTTGTTCCATACTTTCTATGAAATACATCTTGGTTTTTATTCAAGAAACTTCCAGACCGCAGTAATGACTGTCCTTATGCTAATGATCAAATAGAAATTTTACAAAGTGAATTGTTACCGATGCCGATTCTTTATTTCTGCATGCAGAGCTGCAATCGTAGGCTTAGAATGTTAACGAAAGGTACAGTTCTGTTTTGCTGCTGTGTCATACTTAAGAGTTTCAAAGGTAGACTGTGGTCTCTGCAGTGATTATTAGATGTTACTCAGATGTTACTTGACGGGTTAGGGACCAAATGAAGTGTGTATTTTGGGGGAGGGAGGGAGGGGGAGATTTTCACTCGTGTTACAAGGCTTTTGCTTGCATATAAATGATCATCTTAAATTGTTGGGTGATTGGTTTTTATATCAGCACATTATTACACTTGAGATATATCACACCCTATAAAGGGTGTAAGGTATCCATTAAAGTAATTTGTTATTAGCAATTAATTTGTTATTAATTACTAATAATGTTACTATTATATCCATTATTAGTAATTAGCCCTGTTCAAATTGTTGTTGTTTTTGTTGTGGAAGATTAAACTACTCGAATCAGAAAGTGCACTGCACCAAGATCAGTGTCATCAGATCAGTTATACAAAGGTTTTGATCTAGTCTGTTATGGATGTGGCCTTATAGTGTTTTGTTCTTACTTCTAGGATTCTCCTTTTACAAATGCAGGATTGGGGTCTAACCTAAACCTTCTGGGTGAGATAGAATGTGATGCCAGTATAATGGATGGAAAGTCATTAAATTTTGGAGCGGTTGGAGCACTGAGTGGTATGTTAACTACGTATTGTAAAGCTAACCACTGATTTAAGTGCAAAGATCAATTTTGTTCTTTTTTGTTACTTTTTTGGAGGGGGGGACATTGTAAATACTTCCCTGTTTAAATAAAGTCTGCCCCCTTTAAAAAAGGGGGAGGCATTCCTGCTCCCTGCAATACTGTTTTGTGTTAATTTGCTTTGTGTAACATATTGTCTTATTAGTTCACTGATAATCCTTTGATGCAGAACGATTGTATGCTACTATACAGTATTCACAATGGGAGTGAGTTTGCTCAGACGAATTTGTAGAATGATAACTTTATAATAAAATGCAATTATTAAAAAAAAGATTACAAGCATTTAAATTAGGCTTTATATTTGTTTGTGTTCTCTGTCCCCTCGAAGAACTTACTGGTATATAATTCAATCATAAGGTCAATTGATACTTCGATCTCTTACTTAAGTTGGTCAAATTAGGATCCTAAGGGACCAAAGTTTCCTTTATAGTGTCAGAAGGCTATGCAGGGTGCTAGCCTCCAAACTGAAGCCTCTCATGTATTCTTGAGAATGGGCAGAGCTGCTCATCTGTCAAGCTGTTTGCTTGGGACATAAAATTTCTGTATACTGTAGATTTTTTTCATTATAATTTCTCTCACGTGATCAGTTACATTTGGATTTATTTTGTGTGTTACTGTTATAAGGTTAGATACATTTGCATATGGGACTTAGTTAATCTGAGAATTAATGCGTTTCTCTTTTTTTTTTGTCTAGTTTTAGCTTTCAGTACAAAACAAATACAGGTATACAGTCCCAAATAGGGGTTGTTTAGGTTTTGTCCTAAGTACATCGAACAGCCTTAACTGTTACTATTGAATAGCTTTTCTGACAACATTTCAAGCTTCGTTCTTTATCCTAGAATAGTTCTAAACTGTGGTAATAACTTCCTCATGTAGATATAAATCTAAAATAAATAGTAAAATTAAGTGTTTCAAGGCTTGTTTGTTACAAAATGTATCCTTCCAGTCATGGGGAAGGAGGAAATGAGGGAGTGAGAGAAAGCTAAGCCTGAATCCTATAATCCCTCTTCTGGCCAGATAGATCCAAATGAAAGCTCTTTCCATCTTGAAAAATTAATGCTCATAAAACATCTTTGGCCTGTAGAATACTGTAGATACAATTTGAGATTTCTGTGGTAGGAGGTCGCTCCTAATATTTCAATAAGATTCTTTCTTTAAAAAAAAAAAGGGGGTGTGTGTTGATTAGAAGGCTTTGTCACTACTGATAGGACACATGAAGGAAAAACTGATAAAGTTGGTATTAAATTGAAACATAACATAAGGTGTCTCTGAATGACTTGGCAAAGCCTTGGAAATTAAAGGAAGCTGTCTTCCATTGCCAAAATGAACACTACAATGCTATGTGGAAAAATATTTTAATGTTTTGTTCCCATTTTTTGCTAATTTTTCTTTTCAGGGATCAAGAATCCAGTTTCAGTTGCAAATAGATTGTTGTGTGAAGGGCAGAAGGGAAAACTCTCTGCTGGCAGAATTCCACCTTGGTAATTGCTTTGTTCTGCTTGACTTTACTTTGGTCTTTTGTCTCTACTGCATGCAATATTTGAAGGTTATATCTTATCCCAAGAAGGCTGGTGCTGTTTTACATACCAGTGATAATGTGCCTTTAAAAAGAAGATAAGCTTTGTTCTGTGATCTTGAAACATGTTGTGCACTTGATGAAGCTGTGGGTAGAATGAAGTATTGTGAATAGATGGCAACATCATTTTGCGATAATTTCTGTCTGTGTGATTATTTCCAGTTACGTCATACTGAATTCTTACGTTTGTTACTGTAGCGTTTTGAAAAATCCCTAAATACATCAAGATTAAAATGAAATTCTACTGCCTTTGCCTCCGTCTACCTTTAAAAAAAGCAACATAGTTTTTAACAAGTATATAAAAGAATCCTACTTTACTGCCTGTCTTTGTGCCTTTATTTTGTAGCTATAAGTGTGGAAATGTGCAGTGTTTAGTTAACTTCCTCTTATCTTAGCCAAAATAGGAAGTTATTTTAAAGATAGATTTAATAGTATTTACAACAACAGTGAAAACATGCACTCCTTTATTGAGATGGGTATAATACTTAGATGGAAGACATTACTATTAAATGCATAACAATTTTAAATATTATTGCATCATTTTGGAAAGAATCCAAGAAATGTGTCAGAAGTGATTGCTCTTAAAACCATCTTATTTTCATTAGCAGCTTAAATTGACAAGTAGAGAACTTGAATGATTCATTCATATTAATTGACTGCTATCCTCAGTTATCATACGTGTTGCTACCATTTGCTAACTAATGGACTACAGTATTTGCAGATGTATTAAACCAGCATTTATGTAGTTTAAAATATGTGTATTTAGATTCACAACTTTTACTTTCTTTACTATGTTATTCTTATTCTGTAAAATTAGCCAAATAGTCTGTAGCTGGATAGTGTAGTATTCCAATTTAAACAGTGAGGAAAAGCACTATTTCAGCGTTCTGTCATGCTGCAAAGGAAGTTCATAGATCAGAAAAAGCCACCCTGAAACCAAACCATCAACAAGCAGATTTTGCTTTTAAAACTCTCTTCTTTAATGAAGAAAGAAAAGAGTAACTGTAGTTAGTGAGGTAACTTCTTTTTTTTTCGGAGGAGAAGTTTACTAAGGAATAGGAGCTTGAATTTCAATTGCTGTTAGTAGCTCATTTCTTCAGATGTCAGGAGAAAGCAGGGCTTAGCTGAGTTACATTGAAGAGAGTGTCAAGTGAGGTGGGGTTTTCTGGTGTTCCAGAACTAGTGCTGAAGTCAGCTACGGGAGCAAGCACTTGTGATTTAGTTTTGTCTGTATCATCACAGTGTTTTCTCGAATTGTTGTAAGGAAGAGCACTTGGGCATTTTAGCATGTTTGCTGTAACTTCATGACCTAGTTTATGCTGCTGCTATTTTAAAAATAACTGAATGGAAAAGAAACTGTATCCTCTTGCCCTCAAAGGACAAGACTAAATCTTTCAAACACTGTGCAAGGTCTTGGCTAACAGATGCTTTTAAAGACAAGGGAGCTCAAACTCTGGAGGCGAGAGGTGAACTGTCTTTGGAGCCAACACATACGGTTTATTGTGCAAATGTTGTGGACCTGAGTTACCTAATACATATTTTCATTTCCTTTTTCCCATTCTGGATTTTGAATGTATATTTTATTAGAGCAAATTAGTTACCCTGGGAACAATCTATACTAGTGGTATATGATGGATTATGCTTTAGGCTTGCTTTGGTAGACGCTCCCGTACATACAGGGTATTCCAAGTTCAGAATGGGAGGCCTCACATTCATTGTAGGTGATGACTATTGACAATTTCATGCCTTGCCTTTCTGGCAGGGTTTGGCATGACACGTTGTTTTGGGACTAAAATACATTCCTGCACAAGCTGGGAATATATATAGTCAAATGACAAGAGAGCAGCTGTATTTTGGCATTCCTACCAAGTGTCAGGATTTTAGTAACTGATTTTTATTTGTAAAGATATGCAAGTTTCATCTTGTTTCTCATGGGCAAATAGTGTATTGGGGAATCTTCCAGATACTGCTTAGCCTAAGAACCTGTCTTGTTAAAAAAACCTAGTGGTAGAGACTGTTTCTATAGCATGATCTAAGCTAGCTTAATGTTTTCGGGCCAGAATGTTTGACACATGGCCACACAAGAAAAATTCAGGAACTGAGAGATCAGTAAAAGTGGCATTATGGAGATTCTTGTCTGTAAAAGAAAACATGGAGGCAGTTAGTTTGGCCTGTTTACTTCTGTTCAGCACCTGTTTTTATAGTGACAGTTCAAAACCAATTCAAAGTGGTACATTTCTAATTTTCAGCAGAAGAAATTCTAATGAGTGTGAATTAATTTATTCTGAGATGGTAAGCTTATTGGGAAGGAGTGATGAAGTGTCCTAACTGATGTATCCCATTTGCTGTAAATTGCTCTGTAGAGTGTGTCATTCCGGATCAATATATTGTTGTCTTGTTTAAGACACAGAATCCCACTATCCAAATTAAAGTTGAAAAAGTTTAAAGTAGAGAATCCCTGAATGCATGAGTGTGGTGTTTGAAACTTCTAAGGTCCTTGCATCTTTCTGTCGTATTTTATTCAGCTTGATGTTGTCAGGATTTTCTCTGCTTATGTATGCAGGAACAGAAAATACTGAACTTGTAAACGTTGCATATTATCATATAAGATATTCCTGTTCATTGTATAACTTTACAAAAGAAAGCACTATTATAATTGCACAATTACGTATGGATGGATCTTTGGAAGTGGTCTTTAGTCACAGAATAATGGATTAGATGTTTTGTAGTAATAAGTTTGAAGATTTTCTATTTCTTACACTGAAACCTTGACCTTCCTAAGGGAAAAGGCTTATTTACATCTGTTTACTATTAAGTGTAGATACATAAGGATTGCAGGATGGTACAAATACACCTAAATGTCTCCTTTCTTAGAACTCCTTAGAACTACTGATATCTAAGTTCATGTCTGTATCCCTTTTTCAGTATTAATAGTAACATATGGGAAAGAATCCCTTGTTAGGGTTTTTTCCCCCCCTTTGGGTATACAGGGATTTGTAATTGCTTCACAGTTTTACAGTACTGTAGGCAGGATATATACATTGTGTAACTTGTAGGGCAGCGCGTAGTCAAGAAAGTACCTAGAGTGAAGACTTGCACCACCTTTTATCTCTGTTCTGTATTTCTTCAGAACAATTTCTTCTTTGTAACAGTGTTTTCAGAGTGATTGCTGCATTTTATAATAAATGTTACAAAGTGAGTTTGTTACATTCAGGATCATCTTGACCATCTTTAATGAACCTAACCTTCTTCTGCCACTTCTGCTTAGCTTGGTGTGGCCTGTCTTAAATGGTCCTGTTTGGAGCAAATAGAACCAGGATAACCATGTTCTTGGAGAAAATTGCCTAAACCCCCCATTTTTAGAGACTTTTACTGGCATTTTCCGTTAATATGGTCTAGTTTGCCTGGAACTGGAAAGCGCGTCCAAGCATCACCTCCTTGCTGAGAGGATGTTTTCATCTTCTGCGTGTTCTGAGCCTGTAACAACTAGAGAGTACTCTTCGTTTGATGTATTTGCAAGAAGGATCTTTTTATCCTGTTTGTACAGAACCAACTTTCAGAGTAGCAGAGCACAAACTCATTCATCCTTTGTTTTTGGGTTTCTGTCAGTCAGTGTTTCTGACTGATCTGTGCTATTCAATTTATCATATATAAAACTCCTAATATTTGAGCTTGATACTTTCTCCACCTACCCTTCCTTTCTGTGTAAATTGTTTTTTTGAACGGGAAGTGCTTATTCACTTCCTGAGAAAGTATTGTTGATAGAAAGCTTTTCTTTTAAAGACCAAATCTTCTTTTAGTCAATGGAGAATACTACTTAATTAGGTTTGGCTACGGTTTGCATTTCTCTCTTACGTTAATGAAAGTGACAGGTTGTTTCTTGAGCCACTAGCTGGCCTAATAGGAGACGCTTGAGTTCTCCCAAAGTACCCGGTAACTTATTCTACAGTATCTTGCAACATGAACAATATATATCTGGAGCTGCACTAATGATGGTAAGAAATATGTATTTAACAATTCAAATTCTTATCTAGATAAACTTTTTTTTGAGACTTTTGTAAGGAAAGAGTGGACACACCTTTTGTATTGGTTAAGTTATAGAGAAGATAGAAAGTACCACCTCAAAATACTAGGCACTGAAAGCTGCAGGTGTTGGATATAGCACTGTCAAGAAAACTTCCAACAGCATTAAAGCCAACAAATTTGCTGTATCAATAACATTCTCAGAAGCTGTAGTACTGTGTGGCCCCAGGGACTTCTTTGTAGCTGAAATAACTTCTTTAGCCTCAAATTCATAATTCTGGTATTTCTGTAAAACTTTTTGAAATTGCTGTAAATCCTCAGTCTTTACTTCTTGTGTCCACTAGGCAGTTGTTTTACTCTTATTTCGAAAGGGAGATATGAAGTTACAATTGGCAATAGTTATCCTTTACTGTGTTGCCGTTGTTGGTACTGTTGTGCAGCAGCTTTCTGAAAATGTGTGATTTCCAGCTACCACATTCCCCTTTTCAGGGAATCAGATTAATTTATTTAAGGGGAAACAGTTTAGATAACTGAGGCTTTTTCCCCCCCCCGAAAGTTACATGTCTATATATAATTTTTTTGCTATCGTTCATTGTCATGGTAGTGCGTACTGTCTCTATACTGTAAAATGTTCAGTACTGACTAGAAAACAACTTCTCAAATTGTTGGGTTTTTTTGCAAATATATTAAAAATTCAGTAGACTTTACTCACTTGCAAATGCTTGATAAAACTCCATGAGACAGACCTTTATCCTTCTAAATAAGGCTTATTTTTAGCTTGTGTTGTACTTCTCAAAGGACTTCTTGATATTCCTGTGGCATTGGCTGACTTTACTGGAAATACCTTACCATTCTCGCCTCATTCATCCCATGTTGTTGGTCTTCAGGATCTTATTAAGTTGTTATAGAGAGCAAGACTCTAGGCGGCGTTGTCCTGGTTTAGCTGCAATGAAAAGCTGGTGCTATTTGGTAATTAATTTCAAATTTAATAGCACGTGTTTTTATCCAGTACTAAACTTAATGTCAGAGCTGCATAGTCTTTTAATGAAACTACATAAGGTTGCCAAATGTAATTGTAGCTGACATTTCTGTGAAATGTAGACAGCTTACAATTTTAAAATGACCAAACCAAATAGAAAAAATAATTGCAAGAAAAGGGGGATTTGTTATATGGTTTTGTTTAAACTCCCTCTTCTGTGTCTCCTAGCTTTTTAGTTGGTGAAGGAGCTTACAGATGGGCAGTTGATCACGGGATACCAGCATGTCCTCCAGGTATCATGGCTACAAGTGAGTAAACTGGTGGTGTCAGTAGGAAGAACAGGACAGAGTAATTTTAAATGGTGCCTCATATTTTGAGGTGTACATCACTTCACTGTTCTTAACGTTCAACTAGCTTATGGTATTATGGTATATAAGGATGGTTTAAGTTTATTAATTTTCTATTAAGTATCTAAGTAGAAAAAATTATGAACTACTACTTCAGCTGCATTTTAGCAACATCTAATTCAAGTGAATTTGTGATTCTAGGATTAAATCCAATGAAGGACTTTTTTTACCAAAACGTAGGCTCTTTAACAGCTCAGTCCTGGAAGTCTGCAGTTGTGATCCATCTTGGATCCCAAAAGCACCAACTGAACCAACATATATCTAAATTCAGCAGGTGACCGTTTGACTCTCAGATTCTATAGTTACACCCATCTGTGAGTTTTTGTCCAGAACTGCTCTGGTGTAAACAGGCTGTGAGATTAATTTGCCCCTTTTTTTTTTTTTTAACCTAGGTAGGCTTTGCTTCATCTAATATGGTGGAATAAGCCGATCCAGAAAATAGACTTGGATTATACTGTATATTAGCAGTAGTCAGGTCTCTTACAAAAACTTTTTTTCTTAAAATAAAAGAAGTGATTATGTTATATTGATACACCATCTATAAACTAGGCTAAAAATTAGTGCACTTACCCATGGAAAGCAGGATGTGGTTCCCCTTCCTTCTTTTCTTCAGTCCCCCTCCCTTTTTGAAAGTGCCATTACAACTAGTCTGTAGTTTGCTATAGGTGAAAGCATGCCCTACGCTTCCTGTTGAAGTTATGCAGGAAAGAAATCAGAGGTCATTACCCAAAGCAGAAGGAGAACACAGAAGATTACAGAATGTTTCTTTATTTTACAGTAAACAGTATTACTGCAAAAAATATATGAGTAGTCCCTAAACCAGAGATTGAAACCCAGGACTCCAATTAAGGCTTTTATTGGGTCTAGTTCTAAATGTAGATAAACATCCAGAAAATTGCAGTTCAAAGTTGCTAATACTCAATGCTTAAATGTAATCCCTGAAACAGTGGCACCATTTTACTTGATCATGCCAATTTTCATACATATTCATGATACATTTCATTTTGAACAGAAAGTTTTGATTTCTAGTTCCACGTGACTGAAACTTTTGCCCTATCCATCTGCTGTCCAAAACAGCATTTGCAGAACAACTTTTGGGCTCAGTTAAGCAGAACACCTTTATTTCTGTGACTCTAGAAAGAGTAAAAACACTTAAAGGTTTTGTGTGGGTTTTTGTTTTTGTTTTTTGAAATAAAGTAGTTGCTACTTATGTGTAGGAGATCCTCCAGAAGGAAGGTTTCTTGACTAACTCTGTTTGCATGCACAAAAGTTTCCGTTGTTTCTAGTACCAGTTGTGTTTCTGTTGTGACAGAGATGATTAGTTGCCAGATGGTATCTTGCTAGCTAAAATGTACCCCGGTCAGAGTAAATCTACACATTATGGCTTAAAAATAAGGATGACCACTGCTAGTTTGGTTTACCTAACCCAGACTATTAATTTATTTTGGAGAAACATGAGAAGAATAATCCCAGCCAACATATTTTCACAAACCTGCTCCAAAACACCAGTGATTTCTTTTGTCTCCTCAGTACCTTCAGCATACTTCTATTTAGCAAAACAATTTGCATTAAAACAATTAAAACAACCGGGATTGGGAAGTTAATCCTATTCCAGAGTCAATGCAGAAATGCCATTTGCTGTTGCAATGTCAATGAAGAAAATACTGGTATTAAAGTTGCCAACCCTCCTCCGCTCCCCACACCCCCCGCTTCCACCCAGGTTTATACATACTGAAGGACACACCTACGTGATTATATGCTTGAGCCATTGCACAGGATGGACCTGCTCTAGGAATGAACTGATGCTGTGAAGCAGGCTGTGACAGTTAAGACTTGAGTGTAGACTATGTGAATGTTTTGCTGGAAGAATGATTTCAGATTAGGGTAATTGAAGGATATGCTAAAAAAAATCAGTGGCAGAGGTATTCTTTGTAATACTGAGCAAATGAATTAAACCTGAATTCTTCACAGATGTTCTCTAATTCTGTTACTTGACCTTAGCATAAATAATAGTCTATGTCGAACTGGATTTACAGAAAGGAGGTATTAGACCATTTTAGTCTTGTGCTTCAGTTTCCTTCTCAAAAAAGATGAGATGGCAGTGTCTGCTATTTAAGTGCCTAAAATGGATACGTAGGAAAACAATACTAGCTTACATTAAGACTGCATTATTAGCCATTCTCAGAGGCATCTGGGAAAAGATTGCTTGAGCAACTTAAAATTTGTCATTTTTTCTGAAGATTTGAGTACACTTAATTTTGCGGTATAATCATTAATGGTAGTATATCTGATTTTTTTTTTTTCTTTGAAAAAAGAAGAACACAACAGCAAGAAAGAGCAAACAAAAACCTGAAAAATCAGTTCCAGAAAATGTTATGCTGATTTCCATACCAGTCCTTAGCAAAGATAGTCTTGTAATGCCTAAGCTTCTGGTCAGTGAGGCTGGAAAGTAACCATTAACACCGTGTGTGACAACATGGGATTGTTACAGCTGAAAAGAAATTGGAAACTGTCTCACAGGTAACATGTAAGAAAGCCAAAATTGTTTTTTCCAGTGTTACCGGGGGAGGGAAAGTTAGATGTGCTTCAGAAACAATTAGAGAATGTTGTTTCCAAGGTACCACAGAAGATCTCATCTGAAGCGAGCTATTGCATTAAATAATGTAACAAACTTTAAAAAAAAAAAGGGGAGACTTTTTGATTATGCTTGCTACAATTGCTATGGTAGAGTTTGCATGGAGAACTGGAGGTAAATCAACTTGAAATTACGTGACTGTTGAATAGCTCTGTAAAATGAGGGGGTTGGACTAGATGACCTTGAAAGGTCCCTTCCAACCCAAACTGTTCTATGATTCTATGAAGGACTGAAGTAATTGCCAAACATCAGGAAAATAAGTTTAGTAACTTAATTACAAAAACCCAAACCCAACACCACCCCCACCCCCCCCAAAAACTTAATCCAAATCTTACATGTACTTACAATAAGTATTAGCAGGGAGAACTAGGTGCATATGTTTTGGCTTCTCTGTGCTGCACATGGAAAATACATTCTTGAAGTCGCATTATTCTGTCTCCCTTTTCCCAGACCTGAGATGGCAAGAGTAATGTTATACATGCTATAAGGCTGTGGGATTGTGTGGTTGGTTTTGCATGGATGGAGCTCTCCGTATGATCAGTTACAAAGAAAGTTGCACGATCAGCTTTGTGGTCACACTCCATAATTCTCTCAGAACTATCAAAGTATGTAAGCACCAAACTGAAATGATGTTTTAAACCATGTTACTTGTTGAACTACATCAAGGTTATGTCAAGGCTCACCTGCTTTGTCTTCTTCAGTTTGCCAAGTGTGCGAGGAAATGGGATTTCTACCATTTGTAAAAATCTGGTGGCTTTCCAATGTAGTGAGTGTTTTGGTTTTTTTTTTTTAAAAACACTGAAATGTGATCTGCCTGTATTGCCTGCAGTCTGCAAGAAAGCTGAATTTATTAATTTCTGCCAATACTAGAGCCCTTGCTAGCTTATGCTAGAGTTTTGTTACCCTGTGCAAGAGGCTGCTTTGAAAGTGTGATCAAAGTTTTAAGAATGTAATTACAGTTTAGAAATGTTAATTTACTGTATCATGCAACATCTTATAAATGTTAAAAGTATACTTTAAATAGGCAACATAAATTTAAGGTACAGCTTCAGCTGTGAGTATCTGTGCCTGCACTAGTAATAACAGAACCACTTTTATCTGAATTTTTCTGTTCAGCCTGTAGTAGATGCAAAGTAATTGATTTGGCAAAGATAACATGATGTCGATGTTAAGTCTTCAAAGGGAAAGAGAAGGAAGGTAACTACTCATGCGGCAAGCTTGTACCTCTAACTCTAATAATGTGGAAGTGACTATAAGTACTTCAGTAAATTATATTACATAAGAACAAAAGCAGCTGCAGTGGATCCACGCAGCTTGATGACTGGAATCCAGGATAGCCACAAATGATGCTTAAGGAAGAATATAAGAACAGAGCAAATATGTACTTCCCTTTCCCTACCCCATTTGCTATCCCAGACTCTACATTCCTGAGTCATGACTGGTTCCTGCATACATGGAGGTAATCAGTGGCATTTTCTGCCATGAAATTGTTGTTTCCTCTTGAGCCCACATTAATTTCTGGCATCTGCAAAAACCTTTACCGCTTAACTATGGGTTGTGTGAAGAACTACCTCTTTTTCATTATTTGGAGACTTGCTGAATAAAATCTGGTGTTTTATTGTCAGGTCACTACTCAGAATCCTTCTTCACTCAAGTCCTCTTAGTACCTTGAATAACTTAGCGTCATCAGTAAAATCACATCATGTTGTTGAACAGAATAGGTGCTACTATAAGTTGATTTGGCATTCCACTTGTAACAAGATACTTATTTACTCCTACTTTGTTTTCTGTTTTTTAACCAATTTTGTGTATGCAAGGATATTCCCTTTTATCTTATGGCTGCTTGGCTGCTTTAATGAGGGAGAGCCTTTTCTAGATAAGTGTCATGCAGATTTGTCATACTTCTAGTGACACTCTATGTCTCCCTGTCCACCAGTATTGCCTCCTAGCCTGCCTTTCCTCCAAACCTCACCTCACTCCCAGTTCTCTCCCCCACTTCACTATTATTGCATTAAGAAAAACGTGCCATATTGCTGGAACTGTGCTACGAGGTTCAGTCAGTGGCTCAGGGCAGTGGCTTAGACTGTGTTTTGTTCCTTTGTTTTTAGGGTGAGAATGAGAGAGATCTGACGAGAAACTCAAGGGTTTTGGGGGTTTGATTAGGAAGCTTGGTTAATCTGAATACATATCTGATTTTAGGAAACTAAGAGGTACCTCTCGGATAGAAGGTGCTTGTCTTTTAACAGTGAAAGTTGCTACCATAATA